CACCTCGGAAGGATGGAAGGCTGAGTCAACCTTGAGCTGTTGAGATTAGAACCGCTGAACTGCAGATAACAGTCAGCTGAAGTGGCCTGCAGTACTGCACCCTAACCACTGCGCCACCTCGGCTCTTGAACATGAAAAAATGGCAGAACTTTTGCACGCTCATATTCACCAAATTTAGGCAGTGGTTTATTATTTTATTTTTTTAATGATGGGCAGAGATTACACTTTGACTTAATGAGTACATTTGCACTGAACAAATCTTTTTCCGAATGAAAGTGAATATACACGTTCCAGGATAATACTGCAGGATCCAGTCTGGGTCCAGAGGTTTTGTCTTCCAAGCTTTTGGACTCGTGCCGGAGCCCAACTTTAGGGAACTTCTCTTTAGCAGAGTGTGTGCTGTTATATTTATATGGTGCCTGCTGTATGTGGCTTTTTAGAAGTTGATTGAGGTGTGTTGATGGCTGGCCTTGATGTCATTAGCTATCATTTGCTTGTGCTGCCCCTTTCAAGTACTTAGAAGGCGAAGGCTGTGCAGCACAAGCAAATGGCAAGCAACTGCTTAAAAGCCAGCCATCATCACATCCCAATCAGCATCTAAAAAGCCATATAGGCACTATAAATACCATACACAGAACAGCACACACTCTGCTAGAGAGAGAGAGATGTTCCCTGAAGATTGGCTCAGAGCAGTGGTGGGTTGTTAATTTTTTTACTACTGGTTTTGGCATGCTCCTGTGTGCACTTGCACGTGCTCAAACCTTCTGTGCATGTGCAGAAGCAGTTGGGTGGAGTCTTCCATCGCCACTACTACTGGTTCGGCCGAACTGGCAGCAACCCACTCCTGGCTCGCAGGAAAAAACCTCTGGTCCCGATGACTGACCCAGATTGAATCTTACAACAAATTCATTCACTTAATATGTTGACAAGTCTAATATAGATTGGGTGAAACCAGGATTAGTGAGATCCCGGTTTCCCTGTGAAAGGGATCTTGGAGTCTTAGTGGACAACCAGTTAAACATGAGCTAGCTGTGTGTAGCAGCAGCCAAAAAAGCCAATGCAATCCTATATTGCATTAACAAAGGGTTCCAACTAAGATCAAGTGAAATACTAATACCACTCTATATTTGCCTTAGTAATACCACACCTAAAATACTGCATCTATTTTTGGCCACCTCACTATAAAAAAGATGTTGAAATTCTAGAAAAAATGCAGAGAAGAGCAACCAGGATGATTAGGGGACTAGAGACTAAAACATATGAAGAATGGTTACAGGAACTGGGCATGGTTAGTCTAGAGAAGAGAAGGACCAAGGGAGACATGATAGCAGTGTTCCAATATTTGAGGGGCTGCCACAGAGAAGAAGGGGTCAAGCTATTTTCCAAGGCACCTGAAGACCAAACAAGGAATACTGGATGGAAACCATAGTGCTACCATACACGAGCAATACAAATACCCAATGAGCAGGAATTTTATATCTCTGTGGAGATATTTATGCTCTCTATGCTTAGTTATTTCCTTGCAAATGTTTTATTGCCCAGTTAGGCAACACCCTCAATGAACTGGCAAGTGTTATCTAGCTGGGTAATAAAATATCTGCAAATAAACAATTCATAACAGAGATCACCAAGAACTTCACAGTTCAATATTGAGCTAAATTCTCTCCCACTAGCATTGCATCATTCTTAATCTGAGTAAGAGCTCAAACCATAGCATGATTCCATGCAGTTATCAGAGCATTACAATAACAACCCTGTAGATGAAATTTGGGCTGAGAGATGGTGGGTCATCCAGTGTCCCAATGGGGTGTAAGGTTGTGTGAACTTGGGATTTCTCTGTTTTCAGTTTAACCACTAAAACACACTGGTCATTGGCTTGTAAAAAAGTCTAGGTTCAGTTCCTCTCTGGGAGAAATAATCAGGGTCTAAAAATTGGAGAAGCTTCTGGATGAGCCCTGGAATATCTGCCATTATTCAAAGACTGTGTTGCCATAATATGCCTACTGGGGGCTTTCTCAACCCAGCTCTCTGGTTTTCTACATAATGCTTTGGTCCATAAACTCCCTACAAAGGTTGGGTTTACACAACTTACTAAAGGCATTTGGCTTGTTTGTGGTTCTGCATTTTATGTAGAGGTCACAGAATAAACAAGAAGAGTCCAGATGAAACTGGACTCAAGGCCACTTTTTCTGTTCTTCCTTGCCCACTATGAGCTGAGCCTTAGAAAATAGTGGCTGACATGGAGCTTTCGATAACTTTTGCTCTGAAGTATGGGACTGAACCAAGCATTTATGGCAAGGTTAAATATTATAGAATCTTCCCAATTTCCCTCAATTCAGTGCTATCTTCATGTGAGATAATGTCAGGTGCAAGGCGTTAGGTAGCAGAATAAAAAGTACACACGTTTATATCATGCTACCTGTACATAAGACTCTGAACCACAAATGATCAAGGTGAATTGGTCCCAGATAAGACTCAACGGACTTCAAAGAGGCCTGAATTTAGGTTTCTTATGGGGATGTAGAGACTCCAAACTGATGATGTGTTTGATCCTGCCCTGATGCTCAGCCTGGTTGTCTCCTACACATTCCCTGTCTGGTTTTGGTTGACTTTGATTTAGCATCCTGGTAACTTTGAAATAAAGCAATATGTAGACTATTTTTGCATTAAATTAATGGAAAATGTTCCCTTTCACTTTGTATTTCATTTTTCAGATGGAATTCCTTGGTGTAAGTCAATTGTCATTCATCCATGATCTGGGACCTAAAGGCATGTAAGTCTTGGCCTCTTTATGAATATGCTTAGTGAAAACATTTCTGTTTTCAATTTTCAGCTTCTGGTTTACAGAACATTTTAAGTAGAACATATAACTACCCTAGAAGATAAAGCAATTATGTATGTGTGGTGCCATTTGTTTGTTTACTTAATTTCTCACATTTATATACCTGCCCATCTCACAACACAGTGATTATAGGCAGCTTACAACAGAAATAATCGTAAAATCCATATAATGAGTACAATTTTTAAACAGTCAGCAATATTATTGACGTAATAAGACAGTGTACAGAATTGTTGTTAAAAAAATGGGGCCATTTCATTAACTCACCATTGCACCGAGATCTTCAGGCCTGCTGACACAGCCATGTTTTAAGGGACCTCTAGTAAGAGATCATAGATGCGGTGGCTCAGTGGCTAAGACGCTGAGCTTGTCGATCAGAAAGATCGACAGTTAAGTGGTTCGAATCCCTAGTGCTCTCGTTACTTGTCCCAGCTCCTGCCAACCTAGCAGTTGAAAACCATGGAAAAAATGCAAGTAGAAAAACAGGAACCACCTTTGGTGGGAAGGTAACAGCGTTTCGTGCGCCTTCGGCGTTTAGTCATGCCAGCCACATGACCGCGGAGATGTTTTTCAGACAGCGCTGGCTCTTTGACTTTGAAACAGAGATGATCACTGCCCCCTAGAGCCGTGAACGACTAGCACATACGTGCAAGGGGAACCTTTACCTTTAGTAAGAGATCAAAGATCGGGGGCAAATCTCACCTCAGAGGGGCAGACAATATTTCGTAAGGTAGATGCCAAATCAAAAAAAAAAAAAAGGCTCATCTTCTTTTGTAGATAGGACCCACAGCACACCTGTTTGGCCAAACCTGACAAGACTAGATATAATCAGGTGGAGACAGTGGCTCAGGTAAACTAGCCCCATGCCATGAAGGGCTTTAAAAGTCAAACCCAGCATTTTGAATTGGACCTGGAAGCAAACTGTTAGCCAGTGCACTTCATAGGACAGGAGTCTTTCAAAGGTGCTTTTTCAAAAGGCATCTGGACTTGTTTTCCCTTGAAGACATTTCAGTTCAGAACTGAAGAAGCTTCTTGAATGAGAAGTAAAATGTCCTCAAGGAAAAACGAAGTCCAGTTGCCTTTAGGACAACCATGACCTGGATGACTCCATAGACATAGGACAGGAGTGTAACATGTGCCAATCTAGAGGCACACATATAGCTTCCTGACCTACTGCATTAGGCACCAGCTGAAGCTTCTGGATACTCTTCAAGGGCAGCCCCAGGTAGAGCACAATACAGTAGTCCATTCGAGAGGTGACCAGGGCAAGAGTGACTGTGAGCAGAGCCTCCCAGTCCAGGAGCTGGTGCATAACACAAAGCACAAACACAAGGGCATTGAAGCTGTACGGGTAACCCCCACACATGGAATTTTGATGCAGATTTCCAATTTTTCAAAGCTGTGGTAGGGAGAATCAGCTAATTATTAAGTTATGGAAGTTGTAGCCAGAAGGATACAGAGGTGACAGCACTTAATCAATGTGCTAAACTAAGCAGGGCTGCATGTGGATAATTCAGTTGGGAGTACACTGGGAAATCTTATAATTGTAGGATAGCTGGAAGAAGGTATTGATAAACTATATCCATGCCCTTGCAAGAAAAGCGCATGGAGGGGGTCCATGTAATCACCAGAAGCTGAGCTCAACCCAGATTTTTATGCAGGAAGAGATTTGCAGGATGAGAAGCTGTGAATTTTTCAGCCACCTCCTGCTTCTATTTCTGTAGCAACTAGAGTTAGTAAGTGACAACTTCTTGTGAAAGATTTTCCCCTTCTAATTCCTGCAAACTACAATATTGCCTAAAGCGATGGCGAACCGTGTCAAATGTGTCACAGGTGACACTCCGTGCCACTTTGAGGATGCTCCAGGCCTCCGGACTGAAAACAATGCTAAACCCCATTTATATAACCTGATTAAGAAAAAGGCATGAATGTGTGCATGAAATCACAACAACTTGTGAATTCCAGAGAGTCAAAGTCAGAATTATAACTGGATATTCTTTTTTAAAGGGACGTGATGACTCAGTGGCTAAGATGCTGAGCTTGTTGATCAGAAGGCAGGCAGTTCGGCAGTTCGAATCCCTAGCACCACTTAACGGAGTGAGCTCCCGTTACTTCTCCCAGCTTCTGCCAACCTAGCAGTTCGAAAGCATGTAAAAATGAAAGTAGAAAAATAGGAACTACCTTTGGTGGGAAGGTAACAGTGTTCCATGCACCTTGGCATTTAGTCATGCTGGCCACATGACCATGGAGACGTCTTTGGACTGCGCTGGCTCTTCAGCTTTGAAACAGAGATGAGCACCACCCCCTAGAATAGGGAACGACTAGCATGTGTGTGCGAGGGGAACCTTTACCTTATTCTTTTTAAAAAAAATGGAATTCCTAATGGTAAGAATTCAGCATTATCTAGAAAATTGGCCAGCTTTCCTTTGCTGGATATATTCAAGCAGAGTCCGGAAAATTTTCTGTCCAGGAACATTGAATTTCTGTCCTGAACAGGGGATTGGATTTGATGACCTAAACATCTGCCTCTAACATTACAGTTCTGTAAATTTGAGACAAAGACAACTTTATAGTCAGTTATGAATGGACTTGATTGTACTAGCTGGCTCTACCATGCTTCGCCACGTGGTTCTCTCAATGCTCCTGCTGGCTTATTTCATATTTATTATGTTATCTGCCTCTAGCTGGTAATCCAAGGAACAAACCTTAAAGGACCCATGCTTTGCTTTTAGTTTAAGGCTTTAACCTGTTACTAAACAAAGAAATAAGCAAGCCACTGATTTAAGAAATACACTGAGAAATAGAACTAGGTTAGACCATGATCTGGTGCATTCACTATCTCAACCAAGCATAAATTGTGGTTGCTTGAATGCATCCAATTCAAGATATTGGTCCTGCGGGGCTAAGATCCAGGTTATTATGACAACCTTCTCCTCCAAGTAGAGTCTCCGCAACCAGTTTGTTTAGTGTGGGATGGGATATTGTGGATATCTCACCTTCTGAGTTTAAAGGAGAAGCTCTGAAAAACATCTTCTCAGTGACAACCCAACCTTTTTGGGACCAAATCCATATGAACCCTATATTTGGCATGTCCAGGATAGCAATGGAAAAATTCAGGCAGAACTTTGGAGTTTGAAGACTCGTTCACAGGAGGCCAGTGAGTTTTATGTTAATTTTATGTTCCATTTTCACTCTTGTCAAATTTGATTGATTTTAGTGAGGCTTTAATGTTGGATTCAGCAAGGAAAGAGTGTATATATCGCAAATAAATAAATCAGCAAGAAAAGAGTATATAAAGGTAAAGGTTCCCCTCACACTTATGTGCTCGTCATTCCTGACTCTAGTGGGTGATGCTCATCTCCATTTCAAAGCCGAAGAGCCAGCGCTGTCCAAAGATGTCTCCGTGGTCATGTGGCCGGCATGACTACATGCCAAAGGCACATTGAACGCTGTTACTTTCCCACCAAAGGTGGTTCCTATTTTTCTACTTGCATTTTTTCGAGCTTTCGAACTGCTAGGTTGGCAGAAGCTGGGACAAGTAACAGGAGCTCACTCCGCTATGCGGTGCTAGGGCCAAACTGCCAACCGAATCGCCGAACTGCCGATCTTTCTGATCGACAAGCTCAGCATCTTAAAATAAATCTTGCAGACAAACGATGGAGATGGTTCCTGACATGAAAAAAGGAAATGCACTAAAGGCCCCTTTCTTCATGTTTGAAATTGGTTGGGGGGAAAAAAACCTTGCAAGGTTGGACTTTGTTCAGGGATATCCAATAATCCAGAGTTTCTCAACTTTGTCTCCTCGAAGATCGTGGCACGACAAAACCGCGAAGCCCTTATCCGCGGAGACATAAGCGTGTCGCTAAATCCACGACGTCATCACCGCGCGTCATCACCTCCGCGACAACAGCGCGGCAACAGAAGGGCGCTTTAAAACGGCGCCGCAGCAGAAAGCTGATTTTAATTAACGTAAGGGTTAGGATTAGGTTTAGGGGTTTGTTTTAGGGTTAGGTTTAGGGTTAGGTTTAGGGTTAGGTTTAGGGTTAGGT